TATATATATATATATAATCTTCCCAGTCTACACGACCATACACGCTCGTGCTGCAATGTGTTCCAAACTGTCCACACCCACCCTTTCCTTCCCCATTTTCAACCAAGCACTCCTGTCCATTGCCTTGCCCTACAACATCTCAGACAGAATAGAGTCAGCAACAGCCACCCCCGCAGCGGTTGGGCGTATGGTCGCCCGATGCAGATCACACACAACCAGCCCTGCCGCTTGCATGCGCTGCACACTGGCACGTGCGTTAAAGTGGTCGTACGGCGATTGCCCGTTCTATTGCGGGAGAGGATGGTGTAGGTAAGGGGGGGTAGATGAGCTGGTTGGTAAGGTAGGTATGGGGGGTAGATGTGCTGGTTGGTAAGGTAGGTATGGGGGGTAGATGAGCTGATTGGTAGGGTAGATGAGCTGGTCGGTAAGGTAGGTATAGGGGAATAGAAGAGCTGGTTGGTAAGGTAGGTATGGGGGGTAGATGAGCTGGTTGGTAAGGTAGGTATGGGGGGTAGATGTGCTGGTTGGAAAGGGCCCACACATAACACACGTGGCAGTGGTGATGTGGTGAGTCAGATATTATACTGCGAGAAGATATACAGGCACCGGGGCGAAACTAGAACCACTCTGCGAAGGATTGTTCACATAGGTGCACTCCCAACTTGTGTGATATGACTACACCCGACACGAACACATGCACTGGTTATATCTATACAAATACAAAAGCACCACAACGCTCAACACACGTACCTACATACACATCTCCACGCCCACCTATAATACCACTACAAACACACACACACACACCATACCGTAGAGAACACTCCACACACGTACACAACACATACAGTAAAGCAATGCTCAACACACGTACCTACATACACATCTCCACATTCACCTATAACACCGCTACATACACACACAACAGATACAATAAAGCAATGCTCAACACACGTACCTACATACACATCTCCACACCCACCTATAACACCACTACATACACACACAACACATACAATAACGCAATGCTCAACACACGTACCTACATACACATCTCCACATCCACCTATAACACCACAACATACACATACAACACATACAATAAATCAATGCTCAACACACGTACCTACATACACATCTCCACATCCACCTATAACACCACTACATACACATACAACACATACAATAAAGCAATGCTCAACACACGTACCTACATACACATCTCCACATTCACCTATAACACCACTACAAACACACACACACACCATACCGTAGAGAAACACTCAACACACGTACCTACATACACATCTCCACACCCACTCTAACACCACTACATACACACACACTCCCCCATACCGTCAGCTGTCGCCATGTGGGTGAGTCCTGGATGCCCTCTCGTGTGCGCATGCCCATCATAATCAGCTCATGCAGTTGTGTGGTGACTGACTGTGGCACGCGTTTGCGTGTGCCGTGACCGTGCGCCTCCACTAGTGACATCCATTGCTCGGGCGCAGGGGCCTGGGCGTAGGTAGGTATGGATATGTAAGGGAGAAATGCCATAGATAAGGTAGAAATGCCATAGATATGATAAGGCACGGGAGTGTACAGGGAGACTTGCGGTAGAAATGCCAAAGATATGATTAGGTCTCGGATGTTGGTTTAGAACAGCGCGTGGGCACAGATGTCTTCCAGATCTGGCAACTGCGGTTACAGCCGACAACACGAGCATTTGAGACCAAACTATGAGCTGGATGTACACTGGTCAAACACACAAACGATCCCCACACACACCTATACTACACACCC